AAATAAGAGAAAAGAAAACCGGATTACCACTTGCAAAGACAAACCCTAAGATACAGTATTATTGCCTTTTTAAACTGGATACAGATTCTAGAACAAAACCCTTCAAAAGCCTACTTATTTTGTTTAGTAGTTAAACAGTTCTGACAATGCAGCATGAAGTTTTATTGCAAACCCTTGTTGATCACGAAAATTGAAGAAAAGAAAATTAGTGGCCATAGAATTTCAGATACAGAAAATTTTAAGTTAAAAATGAATTTGTAACTTTCTTTTTTTTTTGTCAGAAAATTATCACTTTTTCAGGTTTATTTACACGCTATTTTTTTCATACAGCTGTTGCCGTCAGAAAATGTTATAAATGTAGAATTTTATGAAGAAAAGTTCTCCTACTTTTTTTTTTCTATAAATTCATATTAGAATTCTGTAAAATTGAAAAAAGTAACAATCATTTGTCTATCAGATATATGATAAATTGATCATACACTATTTTAAAAAGTTGAAACTTTTTTGCATAAAAAAATAAAATTTATTTAGCACATAGAAGAACCTGTTGAAAAATCATAAGGCATTATTTAGTAGAACTGACATTTTCAATTTTGTAAGGTTCCTCAATGGAATTTAAAGTTTACGGCAATAAACTTTGATCGACTATAGTTTTTTAGACGATGACAGAAACTTCAATGTAAATTAAAGACAGTGTTGTACCACTGTCAAAAAAAAAAAAAATCAAATAAAGTATTTGGAACTACTACCAGCTCTTAACAAAAAACATTAGGTTTCCTAAACGTAATGGGTCTGTATCGACTTTATTTCTTCAATTCTTTAGAGCAGGAAAACCTGTTAAACGTCTTCTAGATCGCCACCGAGCTAATAGTACTTTCAAGTAAGATGGGCGAAAAATACAAGCAAAAAAAAAGGTCTGAAAACAGTATAGCCTAAGTCACAAAAGGTGTAGTCTTCTAAGAGGCAACAACAGACTATCAGTTTTCATTCAAAGTAAATTACAAATAAATAAAAACAAATAATTGTTAAGTTTTTTCTTCTACGTCTGCTTCTAATAAATCAGAAAATCTGCTTCTTTTTCTGTTACTTTTTTAACTTATATTAGTAACTGATAATCGAGAGTATTTTTAATGTTTTTTTTTCTACTTATCACCTTTACTGTGCTCCAAACAACATCGAGAGCGTTAAATTACAAAAAATAAAAAAAAAGAATGACAAAAAAAAACAAAGTTCTAAGTTTTCTAAAAAAGATATATTTTGTGCGTTTTTTTACTCTTTTTTTTTATTTTCCAACAGAATTAAAAAAATAAATGCGCATTTAAAAGTTCAGGACATGGCAGTTTGAAACGACCTAATATACAAGTCAGCAAAGATAGGCATGTCAATTGGAAACCTGGCAAATTTTGCAACCTTGAGATTGTGTGACTCGGCGAGGAATTCACTTTTTTGAGTTTTTTTTAGCCTTTTTTACACTGCTCTAAACCCGACTAATCAGCAAAATTTAAGAAAATTCTGAGATATATATAATGTGTACTACCTTATATAGTAATATATAATATATATAACCATCATAAAGACAGGACAACCGTCATATAAGTTAATAAAAATCTAAAACACCTAATAAAAAGAAAAAAATAAATTACAGTTCACTAGTAGGCGGATATAACCAGTCGGTCTAACTGTATGCGAACACTTTTTGTAAAAAACTTCCCTCAACAAAAAGCAAATTTGCTAAAAAAAAAGCTCTGCAAACCTACCAGTTGAATTTTATTTTTCTGAAGATTACACTTTAAGGAACCTATATGCAAAAAACGATAAAATTTCATATGTTAAACATCCTAAATTTCTAATAGAAAATCACAGGAAAATATCAATTTAAAAATGAGCTTCAACGTCACATTTCGGCAAATATCTCGACAAAGACGCTACAGATCTGTATGAGATAGCAATAAGTCGATAGCTAAATTTCTGAAGAATTGAATGATGTCAAAAAATCAGCAGATTTCTGAAAATAAATCAACTAAACTATGCCCTTTGTGAAGCTAGGTCACAACTTTTAATAAGTTGCCAGCTGACCTGACTACTGTACTTCTGATCTTGCCACAAAAAAATTTTCGCACCAGGTTGGAAAAGATGGCTTCTATAACTGTGTAATCAACAACAAATTATCGGCATTAAATGCGGTTTACTTCAACAGTTCAAATATTATCCTGATTGAACGGCCTAGACGAAGTTCTGTCAGACAAAATATTTTAGAGTGCATAAAAAAAGCAAAGAGAGTACAGATTTTTATCGAACGGGAATGAAATATGTCGCCATTTGTTATTCATCAAAAGTATTTAGTCTGTTGCTTCTGCAGGTACAAAATTATACCGGAAAAGAATAGGTTAATAAACAATTTTCTTTTTTTTTTTTTTTTTTTTTTTTTTTTT